TGCTCAGTTCCCCAGAGAGCTGCAAACTGCCAGGCCAGGAACAATGTCAAACTTGGAGCAATGTGGCAGGCATGGAGCCAAACCAGCAAATCCAGCTCCTGCAAGAGAAACTCCATTCAAACTTGCCAAGAGCGAAAACGACCTTTCCAAAGGCGGCCACGGCCCGGTGACACCCGGCCCTGCAGCTGCTGCTCGCTCCTTTCTGTTGTCTGATCATTTATTTGTCACTGGTTGTGCAACTGCTGTGTTCCAGAAACAATAGCTGCTTTATTTAGGTGAGAAGGAAGAGAACAACAGAAATTCTGGGTGCCAGCAGCAGCGGGATCAGACATCCAGCTGCTGCGAGCTGGCTCCGGAGGAGCGAAGCCCATCTGTGCTCGCATTAAAGCTCTTGGATGGGGTCTAGGACTGGTTCCCACCTCACACAAAATGAGCTGCAGGATCTTGGAGGGGTCAGCTAAACCCTCAACATGTCAGTTCCCATCTGCAAACACTCATCCTGCAGCCTGTGGAAATGTCACACACCACGGAGAAGAGATGCCACCACCCATTCGGGATTTGTTGGGCTTCTCCCTGATATTCAGCTACAAACTGGGAGCTGTTCTGCTTTAACAAGCAGCCCCTGGGACAAACAGGATGCTCCATCTCCTTCGTGTCAAAGGTGAAAGAAAACCTTTCCTGAAGGGAATTTAACAATCACTGGCTTTTCTGGGGTTCGAATGAACTGCAAGTGTTAGAAGACAGCTGAGCTTGGTTTGTTTCCCTCCAAACATATGGAAGAGACTGAAGTTTTATGTTTTATGTGCTGTTGAGAAACCAATTAATACTGTCTTGGTCATCTTCTCAGGTTGCAATAATGAGAGAGGGTCACCAGACCCTTAAAAACAAGATGTAAAAATCAAACACACTGGGTTTGTTCACATCAGCTCCTGAGATCTTTGTTTCACCCTTAGGATGGCACTTCTTTTAACCAGAAATGTTAGCAACAAAAGAAAAACCAAACCAAAATAAAGCACCAGATCTGTCACATCAGAAAAATGTTAATGGTTCTGAGACTTCAATAAAGTCATGAAAAACTGGCAACCTGCAAATTTCTCCCTGCATGTGTCTGTGTTTGTTCATAGATAAAAGATGAAGAATACTGTTAATTTCCTTGGGATCTGCCTTCTTGAGCAGCTCTGCTGCTTAAAACCTTGGATGTGACACTAACAAAACGCTGGGCTTAGCAATTCTATCTTAGGAAAAACCCCTTTATTGGCAGAGCATTAGAAAAAGCTGAAATTCAAACAGTGGAAACACAGGTTGATAAACCTCAGCTGAGCACGGCGGATCAGGGGGTCAAGTTTTATCAAGCACTCACACAAACCCAGCTGTCTCAGGGAGCCTGGGAGGGGGATTTGGTTCCTGCTGGAAGATAAAGGTGATGCTGAGGACCACACCAGATGCTCCATCTGCACCGGCCCTGGCGGCGGAGCCCCCGCGCAGCTTTTGACTGATAATTGTTTTATTCCCGCGTTCCCTCCTCATCCATTCCCATCCATCCACAGAAACAGCAGCAATTCCTTTGGAAGACTGAGAAATCCACGCCTTTTTTATTCATCTAAAACATTTGACTCATGGGATGATGTCACCTGTGGATGTACAATACCTGGATATTTTGGATTAGTTGCTATTTATGCAGTTTTGTGGTTCCAGTGTCCATTGCTGCCTGATTTCAACTTGTATCATTGCAGCCAATATCCCCAACCCTATTTATGTGGAATAAAAATAACTATCTAGAAAATAAAGATAAAATGAGACTATATTCAGCATTTAATAACCCTGACACGATTATATCTTTGAAGCAAAATCTTCACATTCACACTTCTTCAGTGTGTCATTTATTTTTATGGGCCCAGAACTGAATAATCTCCACCTAAAATAAAGCAGATTTTTTTCAGACCAGTGTTTAAACTTGTTATTTCTGTAAACTACATCTATAAAATGTGGCAAAAGAGTGTATTTTTCCTAAATAATATTATCCTGTCATCAGTTTTTTCTGTATCCACAGCTTCAGACTCAATGTTCCCTGTAGGTAAGAACGAGTCATGCAAGCAGCAGATTTAGAAGTTGTGCCAGGGAATAACAGGAAAAAATTTCTTCACATGAAGGGTGGTCAGGCACTGGAAGAGGCTGTCCAGGAAAGTGGTGGAGTCATCATCCCTGGAAATATTCAAAGTGGATCCTGTGCCCACACAGGAAATGTGCCAAACTCTTCTGTGTTGGTTTTCTTTCACTGAAAATCCCACAAGTTTTTTAAGGGCATGCCAATTTTTTCCTTTAGAGAACGTGCAAGTCCTGATGATGTTAAAGCACATCCTCCTCCAGTGTTAGGGATGGAATTTTAACATGGCTCTGTGGGCACTTCCCATTTCTTTTCAGTCATGTTGTTTTCATTCCACCTGAGCATGATCATTGGTCAAAACTGTGACATTTTCAGCAAAAAAAACCCCAAACAAGTAGGGCATTCAATAGTAATTACTGAGTATTCAAATGTTTGCCTCAGCTGGAATCGTTATTTCTTATTTATTAAGTTTTCTAGATGTTCCTGTGAAGGAGCTTTTGGCTCTGATGTGTCCAATGGGATGGGCAGTGGGAAAGCAGCATCTCCTCCCTTTTTTTGTGTAGGGAAGCCTCAGGTGACACTGAGTGGATTTTTCTTCCTGACTAGGGAGAAATAATTCATTTCTAAATTTCCCTACTAGCAGAAAACAATGTCTTCTTTATTCTGAGTTCCCTGACTTCTGTGATTTAGCTTTGAACCTTGACTTCACAGCTGAGCGATTTCATACCTAAATCACTCACTCTGTATTTGTAAACTTTCCTTGTGGCATTTATTTCAGGAATTTGAAAGCAGTGAAAACCCCAAATATCCCTGTAGACAGGGATAACATACATTGCATTAACCTCCTTTCCTCTTTCACCTGTAGCCTGTGCAGCAGGATTTTTTGGCAAAGCAATGAAATGGATAAAGGACAAGAGGAGTAGCTGTAACCAGTTTGGGGAAGCAGGATTTTGCAGGCAGCACTTGGAAGGGCTGGGATTTTCCAGCAGCTGTGTCCCTGTGCCAGGATGAGATCACTGCAGGAGCGAGGCAGGTGAAGCCACAGCAGCAGCACAGCAGGAGATGTTTAAAAGCCTCCCTCTTCTCTGTGACATGGACTATTAGGTAAATAGAAAAGATTCTGATTAAAACATTCAAAACCCCCTGAAGCGCCTCAGGGACTGGTTTTGTTTTGAAACCCACCCTCAGTTCCTGGGATCCTGATGTAACCGAGGCATTTCAGTGTCTAACTTGCTTTTCAGGATGGAGCTCCTGAAGGGGCAGCTCAAGGCACCTCCAGCCCTGGGTGGGACATGCCCCAAAATGTGTCACATTGAGCTGCTGCCCTCCCAGCCTGACAATCCCTGGGGACCACACATCCTCCAGCCTCTCTGCTCCATCCTGAGCAGCTCCAGCTTCCTTTCCCTTGCTGGCAGTGAGAATGACACAGTTTCTGAGAGCCTTTCATCTTCCTGAGGCTCCTGTGTAAACCTGTGTAAACCTCAACATTTGCATTTAAAGTTCATTCTCCTGTTATTAACCCAGCCCATCGCTCTGCTCCCCAGCAGCTGCCCAAGGAAACAACCATTCTCTTTGGCACAGAATTTTGATGGATGAAGGGTAAGCACTTAATTTTGACACTTGATTGACAGAAAGTGTCCCTGCTAATTATGGCCAAAAGAAAGAAGAGAGAAAAGCGATAATACAGTTCCATCAACTAATTTTGGTGTCATGTTGAGGGTGACTGGAGACCACACAGTGCAACACATTTATTTACTCTATTTCTTATAAAGTCAGGGTGAGATCCTGTCTCCAAGCACTGCACCAAGTCTGCTCAATTTCAATACCAGTGCAAAATAGTGCTGTGTAAATAAGAAGCAAGCCCTGAATAGCTCCAGCTGCACCAAGGCCACCTCTGCTCTCAGGTCTTTGGTGGAATTCATCCTTATCAGTGCCAGCACATCAGAATGACATGTCTCTCCTCTGAATTGCTTTTTCCCAATTTCTCACAGTGATTCCAGAAGCCAGCCTGACATGGGGCTGGGTGAATGCTGGGCTCCAGACACCTGAGGGATTTCTGTGCCAGCCCAGGGAAGGGAAAAGCTCAGGGAAACCTGAGCATAAGGAGCACCCCTGGTCTTTAGAAACCCCATCTTCATCTCCACTGTCCTGCATTTTCCTTCCACCCACGCATCAGAAATAAGGAAGAGGGACTACATTGCTTGCTTGGTGTCAGATCTGGAGCAAACACTGGGACAAACTCCATCCCTGCAAACCAGGGATGGATCAGACCTGTACAAATTTACAAATTTACGTACAAAATCCTTACAAATTTACTTGTTCCCTTACAATGCCAGACCAAGAGAGGATGGTGGCTCAAGGAAACTCCCACAACAGAGGCATCTGGTTTCATCCCTAGGGATTTCTGCACCCCATTAAAAAGAAAATGACCCCAAACCCGTTTCCTGCCTCCGTGCTGAGGCAGAGTTCCCTCACCTGAGCATCGCTCTCTGCTCTTCTTTCCAGCTTTGCCATGGCAACGAGAAAACTGCATATTACCAGTGTAAAACAGATGGGTTATGCTTTTAAATTGTCTCTGTGTCTCTAGCCAGGTGATGATATCTCCTGGATACGAGGCATTTAGGACCAGGAATACGCTGCAGCACAGCCAGCCCCAGACAGCAAATACATAATGGACTGCCAAGGGCAGGAGGGGGTTCATGACTTCACAAAACGAGGGCTAAAGTGGGCAGAAAACAGGGGAAATTGGATTCCCTCTTCATTTTGCCGAGGGCTGAGCCAGGCAAGCTGAGAGCAGACCCTGCTCTGGACAAACACGAGCGTTTCCATCAGGGAGGAACTCGCCAAACTGCGAAAGGACATTCGGAGCCAAGCCAGGGTTTCTTAGCAACAGCATCACACACAGGACCATTAACTCCCAATTGCTCCCAGCTAAATCCTGGCCTGGGAGAACCTTCCGACGCTGATAGCCCGAGCTGAAACGTGCTTTGTTCAGCCTGATCAAAGGGAAAATCAAAGGTAGCCAGTGAAAAGCAAAGACTATAAATGACTGCGTTTTGGGGAGGTTCCTCTGGGTATCCCAGAGGTGCTGGAGCTGCAGCTGGCTCTTAGGCTGTGGAGAGCTGCAGTGGCAGGTCCACAGCTGCCTCAGCTGGAGCAGCTCTTGCTGATCTGCTGCAGGATCAGTTTGGCCAAGAAAGCAATGAAAGAGCAGCTCATAAAACAGACACAAAAAGCAGAACACAGAGACTCAGAGGGCGAGCAGTGATTCACATATTACAGCAGTTTGATTTGCTCTGGCAAAGTGTTTCGTATTTGTGGGGCTCCACTGACTCATTTCACTGCCACAACTCCTGATTTAGGTGGGCACAGGAGCTCCAACAACAGCCAGAGCAGAGCAGGTGGCCAACAGGCTCCTCCTGCTGCTCTTTCAACACCATTTCTATTCTATTCTATTCTATTCTATTCTATTCTATTCTATTCTATTCTATTCTATTCTATTCTATTCTATTCTATTCTATTCTATTCTATTCTATTCTATTCTATTCTATTCTATTCTATTCTATATATTTCTATATATTTCTATTCTATTCTATTCTATTCTATTCTATTCTATTCTATTCTATTCTATTCTATTCTATTCTATTCTATTCTATTCCATTCCATTCCATTCCATTCCATTCCATTCCATTCTATATATTTCTATATATTTCTATTCTGATGGTAGCAGAAAGCAACGGTGACTTTATTTCAGCCCAAAGCAGCTCTTTATTTTCTCCTAGCCCAACAGCTAGGAACAGCTCTGATTTGGTTTTGGGAAGCTGCAGCTGAGCTCAGACTGAAAACATCATGGTGAGAATCAAAGTGTGTACTTTTACCACATTTCAAAGACAATTTTAAGACACTCTCAGGGAGGTGGGAGACAGATTCTGTTTGAACCATTCCAGAGCTGGAATGTGTGGAGCTGGTGACACTGTGCTCACACAGAAAGCACAAACACACCCAGGATATCTCTCTGTAGTATTTTAAACATCACATTTTCACAGTCTAGTCTGACTACACGTATTCTTCATGTTTCTCATTAAAAGGGCCCTTCTGCTGCTGATCACTGAGTTATCATCAGAGCTTATGAAGTTTATGTGAGAAAAAGGCAAGATAAATACATTTGTAGGGTCTCTCAGTGCGCTGTGAAGTTCCCTCCCTTTAAAAGTTCAGCTCATTTTGGGTTGTCTGCGCTAATTTTTAGGACTCAGCTCTTGTTCCTCCTTTGAGACAAAAGGGAAACCTGTCCCAGATGCAGTTTTCATTCATCTGTGACACACAGACGTTACTTTCATCCTGAGACAAAGACCCCTTCTAAAATTTGGCTGTGATTCCGATACATTTCTCTGTATTAACACCTTCCAAAGTAAGCAGCTTAAAATTACACTTCAAAATCCTCCCACAGGTATTTTGACAAGAATAAAGGATAGATTTAAATCTACAAAATAACACACAGCAGAGGAGTAGCCGTGGTCAAGGAGTAATTTGCTGGCACAATCTCCAGCACCATCTGCCTAAAGCATCTTCAGGTGCCAATTTTGATGCTGAGGTCCACTGGATCCAGCAGGTTCGTTCCTCAGCTGAGGAGCAAATCCTTCCAATCCCTTTTGTAATTTGCATGAGAAATCAGGATGATAAACTCCTTAATAACGCCAGCAGATAGCACACACTGAACTGGAGGAGATACAGGTTTCTTTAATGAAAAGAACATGAGGTTTATCATGTTTTTGCTATTAAACTCTGACGAGATTAGGCTAATGAAAAGCAAAAGCAGCCTCTCTCCCCACAGGATTGCTCCTCAGCCTCAGAAGTGTTTGCAGTGAGGACATCAGACATCTTCTCCTGGGTTTTCCTCCTTGTGTGACAAGCACAGCGCTGCCACCACCATAAATTAACACTGAGGTGTAAGACCTCAATCTTTCGGCTTCTTCCACAGCCTCCTCTTGTTACTCTTTGTAATGGCTTTTATTTATATGTTAAAATAAATAATTATAATTTAAATATAAATAATTATAATTTAAATATAAATAAGGATAAAGGAGAATTGCACTCACAAGGCTTTTTTTTTTTTTTTTTCCCCCATCTTAAATCCCCCAATAGCTGCCATCCTGGGAAGAGCTTTCATTAGTGCATATTTCCATAGCAAGATGAAAGAAGTGTTGAGGTTAAAGTTTTCCCTAGAAAAGAAGATGATCTCCAGCTGTTAATGCCATTATGCTCCTATTCATTAGCATCTCTGGAAGCTGACAAATATGTTCTTAATGACATTTTTTCCCCCTTAATGCTTTTTAAAGTATTTTTCCCTTACTGCAGTGCTAATAAGGTGTAAAAGTCCTGTCCTGAAACCATTCACAGTACCACAGCTCACGCTCTGCTCGGTTTAATGGAAAATTTTAATGCAAATTAAACAAAGTATTTAGCACATTAAACTTTCCCCGCCTATTTAGTCAAGATTTACTTGCATGGGTAAGTTTTTATATATATATATAATATGTGTATGTGTGTGTGTGTATTTATAAATATATATATTATATATATTATATTATATATGTATATAATGTAATATATATAAATATATAATTCTTATATGCATAAAATATATAATATATAATATATAATATATAATATATAATATATAATATATAATATATAATATATAATATATAATATATAATATATAATACATAATATATAATGTATAATGTATAATGCATAATGTATAATATATAATATATAATAAATAATAAATAATATATAATGTATAATGTATAATATATAATATATAATAAATAATAAATAATAAATAATAAATAATAAATAATATATTATATATTAAATATTGTATATTATATATTATATGATATATAATATAAATTTTTATATATTACATTATATATAATATATTGTAAATGTGATAAATATACATCTATTAAATTTTTAAATATATATTTTATATATATAATATAAATATATATATATAAAATAAAACCAACTGTATGGGCTGCAACACTATTGGCCATGTGGAGCAGCACTCAGATTGAAGCAACTCTAATTAATATTTCTTCTGCATTTGGTTGCAAAAGAATCAATTCTATAAATGTGCTTTGAAGGAATCCACCAAACACCACGGTTTCCTCTGTCGTTCTCTAACAAATCAATGATCTTGGGATTGAAATAAATCTTTTTGTACATTCTGGACAGTTTCATAATTTAGAGGCAGATTCCAGCAGGAAAGCCTTGCATCAACGCAGCTGTTTGGGGAAGATGGATGTTAGCACAATGTCAAATCTAATCAGGAATGACACACTGCTGTTATTTGATTCTGCTTATCAAAATTATTTATCTCCAATTGTTACTTTTTGCAAATTGCTGTAAGGTGGAACATTTGTCAGTACTATCAGTGAGGGAGAAGCGTGATTACACACAATTTCTCCACCTCCAGACCATTCAAGCAAGTGCTTATTTTAATTCTTTGTAAGTACAGCATTTGAAAGCACATTTAAGTGTTTTGCTGAAGTGGGTTCTGGATAGTGATAAATGAATCATTATGAGGACAAATTACCCAAACTGGGTCATAATCGACCATGCAAACTCCAGAAGTGGAGTGGGGAAGCTGCGAGTGACTCACCAGCAATAACAGGGAAGAGACTGATTAGTGCAAATGAATACAAAGGGCAAATGTGCAGCTATTCAGAATATAATTTGAAGAGTTCACAGGTCTCCCTGACCTCGAATGGGTCTTAAAATGGTTTGAGGAAATCTAGGAAAAACAAAGATTACTGATCCCCATTTTGCAAATCTGTGTGGGCAGCGCAATTGGGGCTGGGAAATATCCCAGGAACCACCAGGCAGGGAGAAAGGTGCAGGAATAGGGGAATTTGCAACAATAATAATGATTACAATAAAAACAAACACTCCTTGCTTAGCACACGAGCTCCAGGGAAGGATTCCCTGTCCTGTGCATCTTTAGGGTCTCCAGCGAGAGGGAAACAAAAGGTAAGAACACAAAATAAAAGTGCAGATGCTCCTTATGCCAGTTATTCCCCAAGTTTAAATTATCTCAAATGAGGCTTTTCATGAAAAAATGACCCTGCAGGACAGACCACACTGCAGCTCCCCTCACTGCCCATGGGTTTGGCATCCATGGATGTGTGATACCAAGCAGGACAACCCTCTGCTCTGCTCCTGCACTGAAACCTCCCTGACTCCTGGCAAACTTTCATTTTGGCTGGTTTTCAGCAAAGGAAAGCTCAGAATCACAGAATCACAGAATGACTGGGTTGGAAGAGACCTTCAAGATCATCAAGTCCAACCCAGACCTAACACTTCAATTAAATCATTCAATTAAAACATCCAATTAAATCACCAAGTGCCACATCCAGTCTTTTTTTAACACATCCAGGGATGGTGACTCCAGCACCTCCCCAGGCAGACCATTCTCATATATTTTATATATATTTTATTTTATTTATAAATTTTATATATTTTATCACTCTTTCCATGAAGAACTTTTTCCTAATGTCCAGCCTAAATTTCCCTTGGTGCAGTTTAAGGCTGTGTCCTCTCGTTCTGCTGCCTGCTCAGATCCCAGGCCAAGCTAATCCTGCTTCACTTGGAAACAAGAGGAGAAACATCACCCTGGCTGCACCTTTGGGTTTGACATCTGCCTGATGGGTGAGGGCCTCTTGTGGCTTCCCACACAGTCCAGATGTGCCAGCCCCCACATCTGGCTCCCACTGATGGCCAGCGAGGTTTGGAGCTCTGCACAGCCCCGAGCTCAGGCTGGGGGAGGATGTTGTCACAATAACCTCGAGAAATGAAGCAGAGCAGCAGCTCCAGAGACAAAGCCTTTCATCCCAGCCCTTCCCTAATCACACAGAGAGATGACACAAAGTTTCAGACAGAGGAATTAATTAGTGTTATCCAGCTCCATTTAATGTGGCTGTTGCTTTCTGTTGATAAGGAACAAACAATAAGATTTTGCCTTTCTTGAGGAAGCCTCCAGCCTGTTTTCCTCTGGTTCCTCCTACACATTGCTTTTACTCGAACAGAAGTATCTGATATTTTTTATTTGATGGGGTAAAATAATAAACATGAGATGAAAAAGGAGAAGGACACCCTTTTGGCTGGAAATCTGAGAATGTAGCTTCATTGTTCTTCCAACTTTATCTTCTGAAGTTGCCTCAAATGAAAAAAAAAAAGAAAGGCAGGAGAAATGATGAATTCATACGAAGCACTACAATGGGCTTAATCCAAATTCAGGTTCCTTTTATACTGAGTATCACCAATTTCTGATATTTTCCCTCAGTTGCTTGCATAAATTCTCATATGTTTTAATTAATTATGGGACTTCCATGAGGCACTGAAATGGGAAAACAGCATAGGGGAAATACTCTCCTCTGGTTAAACTGGTGCAGACCCAGAGATTATTTCTCGATTGGTGGGTTATGATATTCCAGGATACATAGCAGGGTGCAAAGTGCAGGATATTATATTATAATTTCAGGCAATACAACCCATACTAACTAACTCCTACACCTTTGAGGTCAAACAAGCTGAAGTAGCCTAAAATTGCCTTATCATTAATGCATTTTTGTGCATAAGAAATTAAAGAGAATTGGAGGTATTTTTGTTTTAAACAAAGGGCTGCCAACCTGGAAGGGAAATAAAGAAAGAAATTCAGCTCTGAATTAACATTTGTGTAGGCCAAGGACTGACCTCTTCATCTGCCAAGGCTGCTGTGTGTAACAATGAGCAAGGAACAGGCACACTGGAATTATTCATGAAAGGATCTTTAACGGGGGGAGAGGAACTTTCTTATAACTTCATGCTTTGATCATTAAATTCCAACAAAAATGAATAAATGAGCACAGGTGGAGCTGAGCACCAGCTCTGGTGGGGCAGCTGGAGGGCAGGACATAATTCTGCATTTGGGAAGAAGTGGAGAGGATGTGTTCAGAGCAGAGAGCAGCAAAGCTCCAGCAGCAGCAGGGCAGACTGTGCTGCCCTTTTCCAGACAGGAGGGCGAGGTTCCTGCTGGAAATTCAGCGTGGAGGGGTCGATTGGGCTGGCTCCAGCCAAATTTGGGACCCAGGACAGCACAGGTGTTGAGTCCAGCCTACAAACCTGGCACAAGTGTTCACCCTGTGTGTGATATTCAGAGGGCAGTGATGCAGCCTGTGAAAAATGAAGTTCATTCTCCTGATGAATTTTTAAAAGGTTTAATATAAACAAAAGGACAATAGGGGACAAAGATAATAAAGCAAAGGGTTAAAATGGATGGGTGCTTGGCTCTCTGCCAAGAGCACACCTGGTGTGTTGGAAACACCATTTATATAGTATTTTGTTGCTTGGATTTCATGCATATTCAAACTTTCCCAGGAACTGTTTTGCATGGCCACACCTTGGATCTGCCTTTTTTAGAGCATGTGCATTTCTTGGCCTTGCAGTGTTGGTTTCTCTCTTATCATCTTTAATTTGGGCCTTGGCTCCTTCTTCCACAGGCACTGAGGGTTGAGAGCAGCCTGGGCCTCATCATCTGCTCACTGCAGTTATCCAGCCTGCTCAGGCAGGACCTGGACCTGACACCCAAAATTCTTCTGACCTATGCTGAAATCCCAGCTAACAGCAGGAGAAAAAGACCTAGCAACAGCTATTCTAACATTATACACGCAACATTAATTTAATAATTGCGACAATATCGTGATATGTGTTTATAACAATCCTGAGGGACACTGGATTAACCCACAAAGCACCAGTGCCTGGGGATCAGCTCCCAAATCTTCATCACCCTAGAGCCAGCAGGACTGCACCAACCTGAGTTTCAGTCCCCAGCACAGAGGGGAGGAGCTCAAAGGGACGTGCTTCTCCTTTCATTTATTTATTAAATAATTTATTAATTCTTTTTATTCAATTTAATTAGAATTAATTTATTAATAATTTAATTTAAATTTAATTTAATTAATTTATTATTTAATAAATGTATTCTTAATAATTATTATTATCATTACTATTTACAAATTAATTTATTCAATAATAAAATAAACAAATCCTTAATACAGTAGCAATTATTAATTATTATTAATTCAATTTATTAATCATTTAATATTATTAATGTTATTGAATAAATTATCCTCATCATTTATTAAATTTATTAAAATTATATAATTTTTAAATTTTAAATTTCATTTAAATTTTAAAAATAACTTTAAACTTTTTAATTTCATTTAAATTTTAAAAATCATTTTTAACTTAAATTTCATTTAAATTTAAAAAATAACTTTTAACTTTTAAATTTCATTTAAATTTTAAAAATCATTTTTAATTTATTACATTTATTGCATTATATTAAATGTATTAAATTCATTTTTATTACATTTATTTGAGCTGCTCTCGGTGCCTGTGGCGATATTTGGGCTGAGCCTGTGGTGGATTGAAGCCACTCCAGAGGTTTTCTCCTTTCTGCAGAGGATGTGCTGCCCTTTGGAGTGAGAGATCAGGAACAGCATCCTCCATCCCCTGCCACTCACACAGAATTCATTTACTGCAAGGAAAGAAGTGCTGGCACTTGCAGCAATGTCACTTCTTTCCTTCCCTTCTGCATTGTTGGGCTCTGTGGGTTGGGTGGGGGTTTTTTAGGGGTTTTTTTGGGGTTTTTTTTTCCCCCATCTCTTTGATTTCTTGCCTTGTAAGCCCTTGACCCCTTGGAAATAAAAGAAACAAAGGCACCACATCCAGGCATGGAGATAAGGCTGGAGCTCAGAGGGAATGGGGAAGGAATTGACAGATGAGAATCTTCTCAAAGAAAGAAACAGCTTCACTAAAGGTCAGGGATGCAGGGCAGCTTCCCCCCACCAGAATTTCCCAGCAGCTCCTGTGAGGAGGATCCCCCACATTCAGGATGGGTTCAGCTGGGGATCACCCCCAAAAGAGGAGCAGTGATATTCCTCTGTGAATCACCTCAAAGTTCAGAGGAATCAGTGTGCACTGCCCCTTTCCCTGATCTCATGGCAGGGTAGGCAGCATACAGTAAAAACCAAAGTAAAAAAGAATAAAATACAGTTTAGGGAAATTTTCTGCTGTTACTCTGCACATTCTTGTGTTATTTTTGTGAAAACTGAGGATCTGGCTCTGTGGGTATCTCTAACACCCATTTCCACTCAGAAGGGTGTTTTTCTTGACCCTGTTCCTTGATGGTTGGGATTTTTTCGTGCCCAAGCGCATTGTTTAGCTAATGTGCTCCTTGCCAAATTTAGTGAGTTTGCTCTGAGCTTCAACCCTTCAAGTCATGCTTTCTGTTAATTTTTCTCACAAGCCTTTCTGCTAACAGATTCTTCAGTCTCCTAATAAATCACATTTATTAAACAGCAGTAAGAACCCACTTTAGGTTCCTAAGCACCTCCTCTAGCAGTGAGAGCAAGCAGACGCCCAGAATCTTGTTTCTTTTACTTTTCCAAACAACATACCAAAGGCCTGACACCTTTTTATAGCATCAGTGTGACCTCCCTCACTTCCCCCGAGGAGTGACTTCATCCCTAAGCAATGCCAGGGGCTGTGGATGCTCCGAGCACGAGGCTTCAGCAGTGCATTAAAATGTAATATTCCACGGGCTCTGATTTATGGGCTGTCACTTAGGGCAAAGCATCGTGCATCTTAATTGGCTGCTCCTTTCCAGCTACTTGGTTTGTTTGGGAGATGAGAAATTTTGCACCCACCATAAATTTTCATGGAAAGACAGGTTTTTGAAAGGCAAAGGAGTTAAAAATGTAAAAACGGAGCAGCCAGAGCTGCGCCTGTAACAGTCTCGCGGTGAAACGCATGAGAATGTATCATAGGAAATAATTATGCATTTTTCTTTGCTCGATTTACAAGTTCCAGGGCTTTCCCTGATGGGATCAACTCTGTGAGTTCATAGAAAAATCAAACCCACACCTTTGCAGCAGCCCCAAGGAGCTCAGTGACAGCAGAAGATCTCCAAACGCTTCACGGTCACGGAGATTATTGACTAATTACAAAAATCCACCACAGATCCACTGACAAATTTTAAAAAGCTTCAACTTTTGATTTGCCTCACGTCTGACAGGGAACATGTCACCTTCAGGGTATAAGATCCTCAAAACCCTTCAATCAGACAGATTGTGTGTGCTGGCAGTGTCCTCCTTGAGGAGACTTTAATCTTCTTCAGCCACATGGATTTTCAGTTAAAAACTATAGATCTGAAATTACAAACTCTGTCTGGATCAAAGGAATGCTTGTCCAACATGAGCAGAAAGGAGTTAATTGTACAGATGATGGGCCCATGAGTCAATTACGGGGCTGTTAATTACAGATTTATGTTCAAATCCCATTTCCAACCCATCCTGTGGATAAATTACGAAGGTTGTGTTTTCCGTGACCCTTCTCCAGACACTTTGGAATTTTTCTGTATCTCCACAACAACAACCATCCCTCACCTGGGGTGGGTCACACCACCACCGAGCCTGGCTTGGCTGAGACCATCAGTTTTTGGGGTGAAACAGCAGAATTGGGGTTTTTTTTGTGCTGGCTTGGGCAATCCCCAGCACTCATCTCCCCACCACACACCTTCTGCTGGTTTTTCCAAGCCTTGCAGCACCGGCTGAGCTGGAGAAGTTGTTTCTGACTGTCTGCCCTCTGACACATCGATTTCTCCACAGCTTTATCCCTCTGCCTTGTCCGATGACTTCATGCAACCCAAACATTTCTTGTGTATTGATTTAGTCTCTCTGTTGGGCTATTTGATTTTTTTTTTTTTTGTTTGGTCGCTTAATCCTTAAAATATTGATATTTTTCAGGCTGGCAGCCAAATGAAACCTTTGGAGACACATGAAGTACATATTAAGAGTCTCATTGCCCAATAAATTAAAGGTACAAATTATACAACCAAATCTGATGAGCATGTCATTACAGATGACACATTTTGGCACCACAGTGCTTTACAAAAGAGACTTATTTCCATTTATTCTTGGGTGGAATTTAAAATTCCAATCAGCAGAACCACAGAAGGGGATTATGTTACCTTGGACTTGAATTCAATTGTATTTTTAATTCTATTAAAACTCCAAGCTTGCACAATAAAATAATTGTGTGTATTTGATTAGGATCTTAATGACATGTTTGCCTATTACTGCAGCTGTTTTAAAACTTAAATAAGCTTTCTATCCCTTGGAAAATTCTGTGAAACAAGATGGTATTTATAATATTGAACAGAAGTTTAAATGCAGAAGACACTAAAGGGAATAGAACAATCCTGACACAAAGACATGATTTTCTCAGCATTTTGTCAGAGTCCTAGTGAAGAAAACAGAAATTAACTGATACATACCAAAACTACACTTGACCTCTGAAACCTGTGGTGGTCAGTTTAATTAGCCCATTAAAAATTAAATATTAATATCAGCTTGATCAGGCTCACAGTTTGCTGTGTCTGGAAACACTTTGGGAGAGGTGGCAGATCTGGAAGGGCCCTGCAATGGCACATTTTGTGACAATAAATAGCTTTTGGCCTGGCTGGATGATCCCAAAGCAATTTGTGAGACTGCTCTTATTTTGAGGATATTATTATAGCCCCAGAGGGTGTCTGGGGGATGCTTAACTGGGGTTGTTGACCCAGCAGAGTTCTGCTCTCCAGCACAGAGTGATGCCAGTGCACATGGCTGCTTCCCATGCAAAATTCATTGGGAACAAGGGAGAAATTAACTCCTTTCTTTCATTGCTTTGTGTCTACTTGAGTGCTGCCAAAGAGCAAAATAAGGGAAGTTGTGCCTGTGTGTGTCTGGTGTGTGTGAATCTGCATCCTGGGATGTCAGGGAGGAAATAACTAATATTAAAATATATTAATTGTTTATCAAAATAATATACTTGTATATTACTTATAGAATTATTTATATAATTTATATAATTTATATTATATATATTTTAAATACACATATATTTATAATATTTATATCATATAATAATATTTATTTATAATATTTATATAATATGATAATATTATTTATATCATATATAATTATTAATTATATAATAATTAATAAATATTAATATATTTATATAAAATAAAGATATAAAATAAAAATATAATAATAATAAATATGCAATAAATAAATAAATAAATAAATAATTCCTATAATAAATAAGTAATGTAATATGTAATGTAAATATATAACAACAATATATTATCTGCAATAATAATATCTGCATCCTGAGATATCAGGGAGGAAATAACTAACATTAAAATATATTAATTGTTTTTTAAAATAATATACTTGTATATTATTTATATAATTCTTTATATAATTTATATAATTTATATTATATATATATTAAATATACATATTTAAATAATATTTATATAATATATCATTATTAATTATATAATAATTAATAAATAGTAATATATATATAAAATAAAAATATAATAATAAATATGTAATAAATAAATAAATAAATAAATAATATATATATATAATAAATAAGTAATGTAATATGTAATGTAAATATATAACAACAATATATTATCTGCAATAATAATATCTGCATCCTGAGATATCAGAGAGGAAATAACTAATATTAAAATATATTAATTGTTTTTTAAAATAATATACTTGTATATTATTTATATAATTATTTATATAATTTAGATAATTTATATTATCTATTTTAAATATACATATTTACATAATATTCATATAATGTATCCTTACTAATTATATAATAATTAATGAATATTATTATATTTATATAATATAATAACTATATAAAATAAATATATAATAATGAGTAATAAATAAATAAATATGTAATGCATGTAATTAATAAATATGTAATGTAATATGCAATGTAAATATAAAATAACAATATATTATAATCATTATATATACACATACTTCTATAATATTTATATAATGTATCATTATTAAATAATGACTGCTTCAAGTCCTGGGATGCTGCAAACCTGGCACATGGCATCCTGGAAAAAGAGATTTATACTGTCTCAAGACTAAAAGATGTGGCTTTAGAGGGTCTATTCTATCTTCTGTCTTTAAAACCCAAAGCCTTGGCAAAATCTGAGAGTTCACAACAGCTGAGGAAGCGAGTCCAGCACTGTTTAAATCCTCTCCCCTGGGCTCTCAGCACTGGAAAATGAAGCCCTGATGCAGGTAAAGCTCAGCTTACTAAAGCTGAGTACCTAAAGGACCTCCTATAGCTACAGTTCATATTCAGAGAGTATTTAGTGCACACATCATCAATTTAAGATGAAATATTGAGTAGTGCTTGCCAAAACTCAAGGTGGGGAGTGGTCATATAAATTTCTATAAGGGCAGATGAATGTGCAAAGCCCAGTCTCTAATTCCAGCAGATTTCAAGGAAATGCAGCCAAAAAGTGTAGTCTTACTTGTAGAAATGTTATTTTCACAACAACTCTATCACCTCTGAGGGCTCCTGCTCTTCTCTGGCTTTCTCAGGTAAGCCCTCAATTCCTTTTCTCCATTCTAGTTTTAGAGACAGAGAAAGAAAATCTAAATAAATGAACTTTGTGTTTTAAAAGCTTAGCAAAGGTTCAGGGTCACTCCTTGTTCTGTGTAGATACATCAGTCACTGAGGTTTAATAACTCAGATTCTGGGGTAGATAGTATTTAAAGTCAGAGAAACCCAACAGACATAAATCCTCATCAAGTCAAACTGTCCTATTTTCTT